CCAGAGAGATTAATTATTAATTATTATCAATGATAATATTTATCATTCATTTTTAAATCCAGATTCAATGATCTTTATTAATAAAAAAAATGATTTCAAAATTAATTAAATCATTCAAGATTGAAGTATAAAAAATAAGTCCCCGGTCAATTTAAGTTTACCCAAAGCTGGCCCAAGATTGATCAGCCGAAGGTAATATGACCAACTTTGGTCCAGTCTGCGACAGAAAAAACTGCCCATTCTTGATAGATCAATTGTGTGCCTAACTTGGTCTAATCTTGGATGAACTCTATTCAGCCAAAGTTGGGCAACCCAAAGTTGGGTCAATGTTCACCCCATTGTCACTTTGACAGTTCCTACATGGGACACTACAGTTTGCACACTTTCAGTCGGCCTTTCGCTATTCATGTCAACCGCAATATCTTTGCATATTTGAGTACCTCTTAGCATTAATTATTATTGTGCCTAAATTCAACAGCTGAAAATCACTCCTTCTCATTGTTGACTTTTCTAGTAAAGTTACGAAAATGTCATTTTCAAGTATTATAAATTTTTCTCGCCTGTTTACAAAACAATGTTTCAAGAAGAAGTTGTAATTATTAAAAAGATGTATAAAATGCGTCCAAGCAAACTCCCGAAGCGATTGCATTAAAATTCGTCTTATTATTTATTTTACAAGTTATTTTTTGCAACTTATTTTCCCAAGCCCCCTTTAAAAAGAACAATATGCCATAAATGCACATTAAAAGTACAACTAATAAGGAAGAAAATGAGCCCAGATACGTTACGTTACGACTTTCCAAACCTATAATAATTAAGTTATAAAAAAGTGGTTTCTTAATAAACAATTGTCTTTTTGCAATAAACACGTCGTGGAATCTTTCCAAAGAAAAAGCCATAGATACGACACATAAGAATCTACAGCCCACCGATGTTTAATACGCCTATGTTTATAATTGTTTATTTAAAAAATTACATAAAAAATCGCGATTTGTAGTAGTTTTCCATATTTAGTAACAAAAATATATCAAATAGTAATGTTCATGGGCCTTTTTGTACATCTTTCCAATACCTACAACATTTTTTGTGAACAGTCGTCAATCCTAAGACTGGTTGGACACGCACCTCCACTCTTTCCTATCCTGATCTAATCTTCGCATTCCTCAAAACTAGAACAACCCGCATCCTTAACTATTTACGAGCAGTAATCTAATCTAGGTCTACCTCTACCTCTGCTAACTCTCGTTTCTGCCTTTAATATGTCTCTGATTAGACCTTCATGCCTGAAAAGGTGTCCTACCAACCTACCAACCTATCTCGCCTATTTCTTATTGACCTCTGTAGAGTCCTCTGTTCTCCTATTCCTTCTAATACCTCTTCATTTCTAACCTTCTCCATCCACGGTATATTTATCATTCGCTTGTAACACCACATTTCGAACACCTCTAACCTTTTCTTTTCCGCCGCTTCCGCTTTCCATGTTTCGCACCCGCACAGGGCCGCGTTCCAAACATACACCTTTAACAACCTTTTTCGAATTTCTAAATTAACCGTTCGTGAGCATAGAAGTGACTTCTTTTTATTGAAGGCGACAGGACTGTTCTGTCAATACCTCTTCCATTTTATTTAAAGCTACCTCTAACTCCTCCTTGCTAGATGCTAATACTACTATATCATTTGCAAATCTACGCATACTAATATTTTGCCAGTGTATATCTATTGATCGCGTCGTAAACGTTTCGTAAACAATAGAGAATCAATTATAATACTCAAAACTATATTTTCGTAACTTTACTTGCAAATTCAACAATGAAAGAGTGATTAAAATTTAAATACATTAATAATTAGGCGTTTTCACATCTACTTATATACGAACTAACACCAGTGTGTCAGTTGTGTGTGTTAGCATGACAATTCAAGCCAAACTAAATAAATACATATTAAAATTCTAATTTATTTATATTTAATGTAATTTTCCAGATTAATTAACTCTTGTTCAAA